GAAACTTCTGAAGGAAGAAAAAAAAATTCAGTTTAAATAAACTTTTATGAGAACGTTTTTCCCAAAAACTATTTTTTTCCGAAAATATAACGCCTTTCTATTTGAATAATGAATGTTTCTGAAACTGTTTTGCAAAACAAAAGTTAAAAAATTCGCATATTTTGCTAGAAAAAACTGGTTCATTGAATTCGATATAATAAAAATATTTTATACTCCTAAGGTAATTAATTTTATTTTTCTGATAGATTTTCAATTATGAAGCAGAGAGTCTCTGTTGAATATCATTGTTTCCTTTTGAGAAGTTCTTGGGAATATAGAAAAGATGATATATATTTCTTCATTTGCAAATAAACTTAAAAAAGGAAAATATATTCGCAGTCAAAAATATCCTTAAGGCAAATTTTACATATTGGAGATCTGAATGAAAATATGAATAAATCAGTTGTTAGTTTTCAAATCTCTTTGATAATTTACATAAATAACAAAACTTTCATTGCATCTTTGGGTCTAGAACTGAAACTAAAAAAAAGCGAGCGTGTTTGAGTGTAGTCTAAAGTTATATATGTATAATATACACATGTATTTACATATATTAGTTTTGTACAGATATTTAAATTTATTATGGGTTTTCATTGATGAATTACCATTTTTGAATAGATTTATTATTTCATTATCCGATAATTCAGTAATTACGGTGGTTGATTGTAAAACCAAGACAATAGGCTTATGGTATGGCAAATAAGATACATATGTTTTCGAATGAACATTAGAAACATATCTAGAGAAAACTGCATCGATTGTTGTTCCATGTCCTGTAGTAGGCTCCGGTTCGGTGTGTTTCTAATTTATCTTGTAGAAAGTTTACCAGGAGATGTCCTTTTAGGACGCGAAATTAACATTGAAATCTCCTGCTAAACGTATTCTTCAGAGCCTATTTGATCGTAAATGTGTGCTCGCACCTCTCTCTCTCTCTCTCTTGACCCTACAGTAATATACCAAACGTAACTGTCTCTCTATCTTTACTAACTTATACCCCCCTTTCAACTTCCGTTTGCTTCGTCCGATCACACTTTTCGTAACGCTCGTCACGCATTCACCAGCTTACTCCCCAAGTCAAGCGCACGTAAAGAAGTGTACTTCAATAATATATTTGACAAACTGTTACTTTACCTTTTTTTTAAAGCAAAATAACTACTGATTCCACGCCTTTAATTGTCGAAACCCATTCTGTTCGAAACATTCGCGAGGTTAAACCAATTGACTATGATTTGAGAATAAACAATGGTGCATGGCATTGAGAGAATATCGATGAAATTCAGAGCCATTCCGTAACAGTTTGAATTCGTATTTTTAGAATAATCGATTATTTGGCAGATATAGCACAGTATGGCGTTATTTGTATAGATATATCAATTTCTATGTTCCTTCAAGTAATTTTCATTATAGGGAACAGGTTCTTGATAGAATATAACACACATCTCTCTTTTCATAATGACTACCACTTATTTACAAACAAAAATGCCTCTAAATGAATTTGGATTTGGTAGAAACAACGTACAATATTTACAAAATGCTCCTTTTTGACGCCTGGAGTATACCAACCATAGAGAGTATGTTTCCAACCAAGATTAATTGAATTTTCTCTTTAAATGTTTTATATCTTCCGCAAAGTTATGGGTCGCGGAAGGGGACCAATAGTTTTCAATCAATTCCTTTTTCTTTTCGGTTGATAACATGTGTGCCAGTCCAACATATCGCCCGATATTATTTTCATTGCAGTCATCCTCATCCATCAAAGAATTAGGAATCGGCGTCAGAGCCAGATATCTAAAGGAACTTGGTCTAGGTAGTTCCTGCGGCTGAATATGACCTGTTGTGGTTGTGGTGACCGATGAAGACATATGCGATATTGTCGTTACTTTGTCCTGTTCATCGCTGTTGCTACTTGATCCATCAGTATTTTTTCGTTCCAAACTTCCTGCAAAAAAACGCTTTGATAAAACTTTATGTAATTAATTAAATTTTTACGGGAGAGCAGTTTTGTTCAATTACTTATAAATGTTATCTCAGTTTAGCCTTATTCTTATTTATATCAAGGCTCTGTTTTAATTTGTATTTAATACCACAAATATAATTTATGTTTTGTTTTCATTATTATTTACTGAAAACGAAATCACTGTTGAGTTAACGTTAAATTCATAGAGTTTGAATCAATAAACTCATTTTTAATAAAATAATAGTTTTTCTTAACATTTTCCTTTCACATAATCGATCCTTTTTTTCCACATCAGTAATATGCCAGATAAAATTAAAAATGATATTCTTAACGATTAATATACGTCTCTAGCTAGTATTTCCTTTACTAAAGCTATTAGTTAAGAGAAATAAAATAAAAATACTAGCTCTAACTCCAAGATTAAAGCAGTACATAACTTACAAAAAATCTTTCTGATGTCCATTTTGATGAATGGAGACACCCTCAGAAAGTTAACAACTCAATACTGAGATGATGAGATCTTATATTATTTAATGAATATAATTCAATATTGACTAACATGGGGAAGCCGGTAGTCTTATAATCGCTTTCCAATTCGCTTGTTTAACTTGTTTCGTTGATCGCTGCCAATTAAAAAGTGATTCGCACACAATTAAATTTCAGTTTGATTTCATGTCAAAATAATGTATACTCAAAGTGAAAAGTGGATATGTTGTTATTGTTTGGAGAATGCCACAGAAATTCAAGGAAAGCTGCTGAGTTGTATGCTCAGATATATCCCAATAGACAACATCCATCCCATCAATATTTTCCGTATGTTGAGAATCATTTTAGGCAAGAGGGCAAATCGAGAGGCAGAACAGAGGTTTATCTTAACTGAGAAGAGTAAGATCAATGTTCTTGCTATGGTTGAGGTTGGCAAAACGGTTTCTTCAAGTCACGAATCAGCAAACACCAATAGTAGTGTTTTGTGATTAGTTGCTTCAAAATCATAGATTTAACCCAAATTTTATCAACTTTATTCTATTTTCCGACGAATCACGGTTTACAAATAATGACTTGTTCAATAAGCAAAATTCTCGGTACAGGACCCAACAAAATCAACATCAACATGCAGTGAGAGAGCGCAATTTTCAAGAAAGGTTTGGCTTCAATGTCTGGGCTGGCATCGTTGGAAACAGAATAATTGGGCCTATATTGTTTCAAGATCAGTTAACAGGGGTTAGGTACATAGGTTTTTTTTCAAAATGAAATCGAGGATCATCTTAATAATCTACCTTTAGCAATTTTACGGCAAATTCACTTTCAACAAGATGGAGCACTCTTCATAATAAAACTCATCAAAATTTTCGGTCCTATAACTTTCAACATTAATTTTTACATTTCTAATTGGGATTTTAGATATCGCAAGTCCTAATATATTTAAATAAAATTTTACACTGAAACTGTTCATATCATTTTGTTAAAATTAAAAATTAGAAAATTGTATCCCATTTGAGAACTTTATCTATTTAGTATATGCTTGACGCCTCAGATTAATATTTTTCAGATAAATTTTACCTTACTTCGAGTATATAAACGAAAACGTTTGGGAGATTGCCAGTAATATTTCAAAATGTTAAAGCTAATAGTTGTTCTGGCAGTATCATATGTAGTATTGGGTGAGTGTTGAAGTGAAGAAAAATATTTCTATAGTAGAAGATTGGTTTATACTCGTTTCAGTTTGATTTTTTCTCTCCAGCGGAGTGTCCGATCTTTTCTAGTTCAAAAATTCAGAAGGAAATGTAAATTCAATGTACTTGATTGTACTCTGGGCTCTGAAATGCTTGCACATTATTGATTGAATTGAATTATATGAGTTCAGAACTCAGACAATCTCCTTTTTTTATATTCAAAAAAGTCTGAAGAAATACATCACGGGCGTAAATCGAATGAAAATACACGATTTTATGCGTCATTAGCTGAATGAGTTATTGTTTTTCCGTCTGAAGGTAGTATATTGAATGTAGGGATTAACGGGACTTTCAGTCAGACACATTCAAAAAGTGAAGTTACTCTATTTTAAAAATCGCCAAGTTTCGTCTCTGAACAGAGACTTCGTCAAGCCGAAGTGGTCAGTAAAACTCTGTAAAAATGGGGAGTTTGCATTTGAAAAAAGTCACTTTACACAGTTTATTAAATTTCATTCATATTATTTTTTTTTGACTACCCTGTATCAATAATTATCGAAATTTCATATAAAGTCTATTAAATTTGGTCCCTCCGTCCAAGGCACCCGACCAAAACGTAATGATAAACGTTTCCTCATAGAAAAAATTGATAGTTATTGAAGGGTCTGCAAACATCATTTTTGACATAAAAACTTAATGTGTCTAAAATGGTTAGACATAGATATAGGACATTATACACAAAATGAATTCAGATTCTCATGTAGAAACTGAAAATGTAATAACATATTAAAATAACGAAGTTGACAGCTACTTTCTGTATAACCGGTGTACGTTAAAAATACAAATGATATAGCGAAAGTACATAAATGGTGTTATCAGTGAACTGAGAATTGAAATGTTGCCGGTTTTCCGAACAACCGGAGTGCCGCTATTTTGAAAATATTTTAGCCGAGTTGCCCCCATCAACTCTAGTATATTGTCAAATTTTAAGATTTTTTCTAATTATAGTTTCCCCACAATTTATCGATTCAGTTCCTGGAGATTCACCCTAAATACAGGCCGTTTTTTTAGCTGATACCACTACTGCTATCTCGGAAACAGTAGGTCCTATAAGGACGGTTACGTGGAACAAAAGTTCTACTGCTATCTCGAAAACAGTAGGTCCTATAAGGACCTAGTCATTGTAATTACAAATCCATTGATATATTACAACAAATGTATTTCTCGAAGTTTTTCCCGGAAAAACATCATCAATATTCTATAATTTTTTTTATAAGAGCTCGAATTTCCGAATGTTACTGAAATCCAGAGTGCTTGCAACGATATTTAGAAATCTGATTTATCTTTGAAAAAAAAAGTCAGCTTATTTGTGTGTTTGTCATTTACACATTTGTTTTTCAGCTACTCAAAAATCCAAATATTCCATTCCCGCAAATGTCCGAATCATAGGAGGTGAAGACGCAGATATCGCGGAATTTCCATGGCAGATATCACTTCAACGTAACCACGAACATTCATGTGGTGGATTCTTGATTTCCAATACTTGGGTCGCTACAGCTGCTCACTGTTTATTCACTGGTTCTAACACAAACCTCTATATTCGCGCTGGATCCAGCAGAACAGATTCGGGTGGTCAAGTAAGCAAAGTGGACAGATTTATTGTTCATCCTTACTATAATGATTCTAGTCTTGACTACGACGTAGCACTTCTACAATTAGTATCTCCTGTTACTACTCCTAACGCTACTGCTGCCGCTCTTCCAGAAGCAGGAAAGGCTGTCCCTGTTGGTGCGATGCTCACCGTAACTGGGTGGGGATATACATTTAATGATAAAATACTCGCGCCCGTTATCCTCCAGCAGGTTAGTATTCCCATTTTAAGTCATGCAGCCTGCAGTAGAGCATATGCCGGGGAGTCGATAACCAGCCAAATGTTTTGTGCTGGACTCTACGGAACTGGTGGAAAAGATTCATGTCAAGGAGATTCCGGAGGACCAGCTGTTGCCGATGGAGAAGTTGTTGGAATTGTCTCATGGGGAAACGGCTGTGGAGATCCTTATTTTCCGGGTGTTTATGTAAAGGTTTCCTCTTTAAGAGATTGGATTAAACAGGTCACAGAAATATAAATTATTTTGTAATCATCAAATAAAAAATCTATTCTGGTTCAGCCGTTCACAATATATTTTTTTTTAATTCTATTTAATCAAATGAGCGTTGGAAAAAAATAAAATCATACGAACTAGTATCAACAATATGTTAGGTATGTTTTCAATGTATTCGGGAAGCAACAAACTGTCAAATCCTGCAAGAGTGTGTCATTTTTCAATTTTTTCAATTGGAAATGTTGTCTAATTAGGAGTGTATTCGAGCTGAGCCGAACCAAGCTTTCACTTGAGCTTGGCTCGTATCGATTTCAAAAGGTCTTGGATCGGATCGAAGCTCGGCTCGATTTTTGAATCCCTGAATCGTCTTCAAGCGCGGTTCAAAATCGAGCCGAGCTTCGAGCCAAATCGAGTCGAGCCGAGCTATTATTCATTCATTAATTCTTCTCAATATTAAAAAAATACCTATTTATCAATGCCCAGCCATAACATAACACTCAAAAGTAGGGGGAAACCGCAGTCACGCATTTCTGGCTATAGGCTTCGTCAACGCGATGCCGCCAAGTGCAAGGATGGGCAACACTTGTTTGCTGAAAACTGCACACATGCAGGGAGTCACCAATAATAATCCAATAATTATATACCGCTATATACCAAAAGAAAAAAACAATTTGCCAGATCTTGGAAATCTCAACTTTTGCGGTTTCTGAAATGTATACAAGTAGGGCACCCCATACGACACGTTTCATGTAAACCAAACAATTAATTTTTTCGGGAATTTGTCCATTTCATTATAATTATGTATACTTATGTTCCGCTTGAGTCAAATGACGTGAAGTATTCAATTCCAAATAATTTTCTGATTGGACGATTGTACGCTTCTTAGCCATTGAGACAAACGACTATTAAGGACTCTGATCTGATGTAGTGTTGGAGGACTATACTAAAATTAACAAATTCATTCTGGTTAAGATGCAATTGAGAATACTTGCAAACTTTCATCTAGATAATTAGTAAATAAATTTAAGAAAATAATAGTGGAAATTGAAAATGTTATTATCATGGAAGATCCGGATAGAGTACAAAATGTTTGGCGGTAGGCACGAGTTGTCAATAGGTATATAGCAAAAAATTAATGAACAATAGAAGCAGTTGTGAGGAAAGCAAATGAAACAATATATTATTGACAGGTTGCAAGATTGATCATATCAGATACGGTGGAAAAATGTTATGATTTCCGTTCATCAATTTGTGCTTAGATGTAAGTATGTTAGTTTGATGTTGATAATATTTTTATGGCATAATGACTTTTGACACTGACTAGACTTTGATCTTGATAATTTTTTATGACATAATGACTTTTGACACTGACTAGACTTTGATGTTGATAATATTTTTATGACATAATGACTTTTGACACTGACTAGATTTTGAATTATCCAGTTCTGCTATAATAAAATATTCACCTTTGAACCGCATATTCATTAATGAGAAGGTGAGATTGAAAGTGGTTGACAATGATTAGATAAATTTTGAATAGGTATATACTTCAGATTTATATCTTCAAATGTGATGACGTTTTTAATTGATATCCCTTGTACAAATTTGAATGAAATTTGAGTATATGAACAGACACAGAGATTGACCTGAAATATTTATTTCGAAATGTTGAAATTTGCTGTTATTTTGACGGTATCATGGGTAGTACTTGGTATGTATTGAAGCTAGTGCATATAAATGTATGAAAAGATTTAATTGTCTCTATTCTTTTGGTATTCCTCAATTTCAGTAGCTCTCACTCACCTCCAATTATAATCCTTCTTTTCTATGTGTTTTTATATTACTTTCTTATTTGTATTTATACACGAATAAAATTTTGAATGATAAATTCATATAGGTGGTCGGTTCTGAAATTTATATAAAACCAATATCAAATGTGAACTCTCTCAATATCAATTAGTTAGTATATAAAAAAAAACAAACACTTATATAACGCCTTTATGGTGATTCATGGTCAACCATAGGTAATGTTGACCCGGTGTGTTTTCAACACCAAGACTTTTATTTTCAACTTCATCCCTGTAACCAATATCGGCTTACGACTTCGATTTTCCTCAAATTTCGCACCACGCTCTTAGAAACAAAATAACTCCCCTATTTAGGCCACCATCCTCGGCTTCGAAGGCTGAAAGATGACACCCCCCGAACTCGTCTCGACGGGCTCTCGTGTGATCGACTCTCTTCGTGGCTTTCGCAAGACTTTAAAAGCCCTGAATTCCCCGCCTTTTTCAAATATCCCTGAGCTTCGTATCAGCAACGCTAGCCACAAAACCTTATCTCGGCGTTTTTTACTTTCATTCACTACCGATTTTCCTCAAATTTCGCACCACGCGCTTAGAAACAAAATAACTCCCCTATTTAGGCCACCATCCTCGGCTTCTAAGGCTGAAAGATGACACCCCCCGAACTCGTCTCGACGGGCTCTCGTGATCGACTCTCTTCGACATAACCACAACGACACTTGAATGGTCCGACAGTCATAAATAGTTCAAAAATTTTTTTAGCTGGGAAAATATCGACACCGAAGAACAGAGTGATCGAATTGGATCTCTATGAATAATATAACATTTTTTTGTTATTATTGCAATGACAGTTATTATTATTCACCTCCTGCAGACGCTAATTAGTTTCGTGAAACATGTCTCGAGAAGAGTGTTGCAGTTCTGATGTTTGGAAACATTGCTTGTTATGGATCGATTCCACGTCAGGGGCTCCAGTTCTACCTTTCATTCCAGTATTGAATGTTGATGTCAGGGAACGAGGTAATTACTTCAATTACCCCCATAATTCCGACTATGATCCGTAGGGCCAGCTCTAATAATAATAACATCTACAAGCTGTCTTTAGTACAGAGTGAAATGTTTGATAATTTAATCGTGATATAAACTGCAACGTTGTGAATTGCACGAAATATTTAAAAATTGATTACCTTAAGCCTTTCATCAAATTAGAGGAACAGAATATTCATTCATTTCATTACCCATTCGGTAGATGAAGGCATTTTAGCTTCACTACACTGATAGAAAATATGTTGACCGTTTTCAACACAACACAGAGTGTACATATTCAACTTTGAAGGCCTTTCAATAACGGGAGCTGATTTTTGTGACTTGACGCCTGGGTCCCAACCTGCCTACTCCCCAGGACTCGCTGCTGGTATCCTACTGGTCTCAATCTGCCTACTCCCAACCAGCACTAGAGCTCTTCAGGCTCTGCTCTCTGCTCGGGTATTCATGTCATATGGCAGGTGGTAGGAGGGGCCAGTAGTGAAAGCGAGAGTAGAGTCGCTGGTTGGAAAGAAGGTGTTATTTGTAGAAACGAATTATCGTGACATGTAGAGTTTTCTTGACAATGGTCTTAATATTTTTGAAGTTAATTGATAATAATAATAATAATAATAATAATAATAATAATAATAATGTTTATTCA